CCGGCACTGCCCCTTTTTGGTGCTTTTACTGTTCAAAATGATCCCCAAGCTTAGCACTGTGTTTGAAACTCAGGTAGTTGTGATGTGGCTCAGGGAGACATGCTGTTAAGTGAACTTCATTCAGGCCTGTGTGGCCGTTCTGTTGACTATGAGTTCAGAGTCAGTGGATTGACAATACGAGTTAAACAGAAACACGTGTGGAGCAGGTGATGAAAAATTGTGGCCAGAGGTTTACAGGAACCTAAATACCCTGAAGCAAGATAAATCAGTTCTGTTTCCCAAATCACAGGCTCGTGTGATATGGATTCTGATAAGAATAGGCATTTAGCTGACGTAAACTCTGAAGTAAACTAGTTGATTCCAGTAATTTACTCTGCTTCATTTCAGCACTATTAGAAAGAGATACTCAAATTTTTCTTAAAATGTTCAGACCTGTTTTGAATAACCTATAATCTTTTTTCTCCTCTGTTTTAGATGGAAAACAGCAGAAAAATGGTTTCTGGATGCTTTGGAAAAAATTAAAGCAATTGGGAATGAGGTATTCTATAAAATACCTGTAAATACACATGTCCACACCCTTGAGCGTGGCTACTGTTGAATGAGGAAGATAATAGGGACACTGGAAGAAAGTAACCTGATACCCGTTGTGACAAATAGCTCCATAATGTGCAAGTTGTCAGGCAACTGTTTTATCATGTTGTACAAAATGAGTATATTTCTGATTCATGGTCAGATGTGACCCTGGCTGTGACATGTAGGAACAATCAGAACATATGAGAAGAATATATGAAATTGGACATTTTAGGTGGTTAGTGACCACCATAAAGCATCTAACACAATCCTCCTCTAGAGCTTGAAAGAGGCTGTCATTGAGTGGGTTATCAACAGATCTTCTACAGGGCCAGCTGTCATTCAAATGTAGACCACTTTTCACTGTCCCACACTATGTGCTGACTGTATATGTAATGATCTACAGATCATTCCATGGTTCTATGTGTGAAAGATGCCCCTTAAGAATTAGTGCTAGGGCTGGGGTTGTGGCTCAGTGGTAGAGTGCTTACCTCAGCATCACATAAAAAAATTTAAGTAAAATAAAGGTATTGTGTCCAACTACAACTAAGAAATTTAAAAAAATAAAACAGAAAGAATTAGTGCTGTGGACTGGAGCTGTGGCTCAGCAGTAGCATACTTGCCTGGCATGTGTGAGGCACTGGGTTCGATTCTCGGCACCACATATAAATAAATAAAGGTCTATCAACAACTAAAAAAAAAAAGGAATTAGTGCTAATGAACAAACACTCCAAATAGCAAGGCTGTTTGTGCACTGGCAGTATTTAAAATACTAACACTTCTAGATATAAACTTGTGCATGTTGCTGTTCTTCCCAGTCCCTTTCATTTATATCTTGTGTTATTCTGTTCTGATTTTCACGTCCCAGTTCACTCTGTGCTTATGCACATGTGCCCATAGACTTTACATTTGCTTTTATCTTCTGTGATTGACAGCTCTGCAGACCTCCTGTTGTGGCAATCTCTACCCCTAGACCCAGATTCTCTTGTTTTATCTATTACCATCTAAACTCATCAACAGTACATTTCCTTGTGTTTGTGCTTGGGTGTATATAAGGCAGACTCTTCCTCAGCTGAGTTTTGGGTGGCTCTGGATTATCCTAAGTGTTTTTGTTAATACAGGGTGCCATTTACCACATAGCAGTTTTAAAACAGTGCCTTACTATTCTTACTGACCCAGCAGCACCAGCATCATCTGGAAGCTCACTAGAAGTGCTGAATCTCAGATCTACTGAATCAAAATAGCCATTAGGGAAGATCTGCAGATGATTCTCATACATAGAACAGTTTGAGAAGCACACTCTTGAGCCATACTTAAAGTTGAAACTATGTCCTTTTAGTCCAAGACACTTTATAGTCTTAGTATAAAAGCACAATACTTAATGTCAAAATGCCCATTAAAAGTTATATGAGGAGAAAATACTCTTGAACTTTAATTATAAACTGCAGCAAATCGAAAGAGAAGCAGTCGTGCCAAGAGCCACCAAATGGTTTGTTTGTATTCACAGGGCTGGGCTTCTAGGGCCACTCTCTATTGCTTAGCTGACAGGTATATGTCAAGTGCCACCCACATCCTGGGAGCTGAGCTGGGCTATGATGCAGAAACTATTCGATATTTCCTTCCCTCTCTTCTGTTGGGGAATGCCAACAAGTAAGTTGGCAGTAATAACACAGCATGATTGAGGAAATAAAATGCTCAGTTGGACGAAGCTCACCCTGAACTGAAGTGGTCAGGAAGGCCTTTGGATGTGTCACACACCTCGGTCTTGAAGGTGACCAGATCTCAGCCAGGCAGAAATGAGGGGAAGGTATTTCAGGGATAGAGAACAGCATGTACAAAGATGGGAGCTGATTCAAGTGTGGCTTGGGTTTTGAGTTCACGGAGAATGTCAAGAAGCGGGGCAGAAAGCTTAAATCTGAGTCATTAAAATTAGCCTTGAAAACAGTGTTAGAGTCCACCTTATCCTAGGAGAGTTAGAATACCAGGGGTCAGGCTTGTAGGATGGGGGCCCAGGCCAGATTTTTGCTAATGGGAAGTTGAGGGTTACAGGGTTGAAGCTATACCCCAAAAGGAGAATGAACAAGCCCTGGAGTCTTGGAAGGTTGGAATGATCTCGTACCCAGGAACTGACTGATGGGGTACTTGGCTAGGGTTAGGGAGTTGGAATGGCTGGAGAGATGAATTAGTGTGGCACACTTAATTTAGAGCTTGTTTAACATTTCTAAGTGGAAACACCTAGCAGATAGATGACCATAAAGATCAGTGTTTCAGAGAGAGCCTGGTCTGCAAGTGTACAGTTTGAGCTCCATCAGCATGGATGGGATCTGGCAGAATTGTAAGTACTGAGGAGTCCTTAGGAAGTCTCCTCTAGTGGGGGAGACAGGCCCAGAAACCAGCACATCCTCTTGCCTGGTGTGGCAGTAGAAGCCCACCAGAAAGCCCAGAGATGGGAAATGTTTCAGTGCAAACAAATCAGGCTAAATGGCAACTTATGTAACTCGTGGGCTTGATGTTGCTATGTTTTAGGTGACAGTTGACAAATGGGAACCTTTGTTGAACAACTTGGGGCATGTCTGCAGGAAACTTAAGTAAGTGAAGCAGAACATTTTCAGAATGTACTTTGTACTAAAAGTTTGCTTGATTTTGAATAGCATTTTCCACATTTTATTTCATGAGCTCCTCCAGCTTTCTTAAGCTTGACTAGATACAACAAGCTTCAAAGTTACTGTTGCTATTTGTCTCTATTTATATAATTTTATTTTAGAAGCATTGAGAATTACAAATAATAGTTACTTTTTTAGATTAAAATTTGCATTTAAAATTAATTCAGAAGAGTTGGGATAATAGGATCTAATTAAAAACCATATCCATATTTTCACTTTGTTCTCCTAATGATAGAATAAACAAATGACAGTTAAAAAATGAATTCCTTCTTTAAAATAAGTCTTGGAAATTCTAGCCTCAAGACTTAACAAAGTCTATTTCAGGATTCTCTCCAGACTTTACTTTGCATTACAAAGTAATATTTTCAATAGAGAATATTACAAACTATAGCATTTTCCAAACCTTAATTCAGCATAAAATCTTCCCCCATCTCAAAAGACTTTACAGGGCAAGTGTCCCAGAGAATATTTTGAGGAGTGAGTTTTAGACCTTAAAGCAAAACTCCTTGGCTATGTCTAATCTCCTGGTATGGGAGGTTTGCTGTCACATGAGAGGCTCTTTGTGATAATTCACAGGTCAGGATCCAAAATGAAGTTCTGGTTCAGTTGTCCCTCAAACAGTGAAACGAATGTATTCAGCAGGTCACGAAGGGGTGCCTGGGGTTGGCTAAGGGGGGATGCCAGGAGAATGTTCAAGGTATTTAATCCATAAAAGGACGAGTGGAGGCAGTTACCAGTCTGTATTGCTATTTGGTAGATGAGAGTCACTGTCTCCACAGATTGAGGTAAATCTTGGACTTAAAAAGGTGGTACTTTTACTGTGCCAGTAATTGTTTTCTTTTGTTTCCCCTCTCTCCCTCCCCATCTTCTCTCAACAGAAAATACGCAGAGGCATTGGATTACCATCGGCAGGCATTGGTGCTAATTCCCCAGAATGCATCTACCTACTCTGCCATAGGCTATATCCATAGTCTGATGGGCAACTTTGAAAATGCTGTGGACTATTTCCACACAGTATGTCTTGTTTATACCCAACTTTATATCTACCAGTTCTTTTCTAGGCAACGTTTTATTCCTTTACTATTTTAAACTTTTTTAGTCAATCTTAGGTTTTATTCTTTTCGTGGCAGAGGGAAGTGTGTGTGGTGTTCAAATTAAAGAGAGATGTGAGACTGCTTCTAAATGTACAGTGGGGCATGCTGTTGCCAGGGGTCATCATCATATGGGTCAATCTGGGTGTCTCAGGTCAGTGCAGAATGTCTGCTCAAGTGAGGGCCTGCTCAAGACAGAGATGCCCCATCTCTGCTTGGACCCTTAATTCTGTAGAGCACATCAGTGGATGAACAGAAACAACCTGTGCAACCATCACACGAAATCCACACACCTTATTCCATCAGAGCTAAGACACTACGAACAAGCAGGATCACACAGAGACAAGTGTTGCCAATTAAACTTTTGTTTTTATAATTAAAATATTCTTTTTGAATGTATTTAGACATTAATTTTTTTAAATCAGGGATCATCTTAATACATATATATAAAAAAAAAAACATAAGTGGTTAATTTCCAACTGGGTGGTTATTATTCCCATTTTCCCAGAATAGTGTCCTGATGCCAGTACACTCCTTTCATTGACTCTGGGTTATTTCTCAGCCACATGATTTGCAAGTCTCTCAACCCTTTCAGCCTTCCACTGGGTCAGCAGAAGATTTTCAGAGGACTACTATAGTTCTGTTTCTTGAGCCTCTCAGCTGTGGCAGATGACAATGTCAGTAGAAACCAGCAGCTGTAAGATATCCCGGGTTCAGAAACATTAAAAGTTAAGAAAATGTGAGCCTTAGAATTAATGTACTAATGGTATTTGGAGAAAGAGGTCAAATTAGGCAATGCAATCATGCAGTATCTCAAAAGATAAATTCAGTGATAAGTTCAGAGCTGTGTTGTTTTGTTTTGACTGGTGATTGAATCCAAGGGCTCTACCGATAAGCTACATCCCATATCCTTTTTATTTTTTATTTTGAGACAAGGTCTTGCTGAGTTGATTAGGGGCTGGCCTTGAACTTGCCATCCTCCTGCCTCAGACTCCTGAGTTGCTGGGATTACAGATGTACACCACCATGCCTAGCAATACTGCTTAAAGGTTATTAAGAGAGATTCTCAGGCTATGTGAAGTCGTGAAAGTGCCTCTGTTGTAACCAGAATATTGAGCTAGTAAGAAGTTTGGACTAAGTAAGTTTTCTGGTCTTATTTGAAATATCTTTCAAGTATGTGTATTTGAGTATAATTTATTTCTCTGTTATCTAATTAATGCTGTATCCTCAGAGGGCTTTCTGTGGAGACTTCTTGGGTGGTTTCGAGCAAAAGAACCCAACAGTGATGAACCTCCATGGCCCTCATGTGCCCTCAGCAGTCATCAACTTCTGCTCAGTCTTGGATCTGTGTCTGCATCAATACCCCCAACACCCCAACCATGGAGTCCCTGGAATATGTTGAAGTGAATCAACGAGGGAATATTTTTTAAACAAAAGAGGGGATTACATCTTAACCTTGCTGAATCTTTTTTGACAGGCCCTTGGTCTTAGGCGAGATGACACGTTTTCTGTTACAATGCTTGGTCATTGCATCGAAATGTACATTGGTGATTCTGAAGCTTACATCGGTAAGATTGTAATTGCTCTTGTTGGCACTGTGTTCCATGTTTTAGATTGTTATGTATCTCTGCTTTGGTGTTTTGAATTCTCATCCAAGGTTTTAAGTATTTTTCTGCCCTTCTACCTACATTAACATCAGGAAGCTCCATTTAATTCCATATAGCTATGCAGTGGGAATTAGTTTTGAGTTGAGTACTTGCTACATTGAGAATGCTGTATACATGTGTGAAGCATTGTGTTACAGGAGAATTGATTGAACCACACAGTGGAGGAAAAAAATCTTTGAATGTTCTAATGAAGAAATGAAGGGCTTTGGCCTTTTCAGGGTATAATAAAATGTTAGTGTTTACATTTCAGTAACCTTAGGATGGTTTGCATTCACTACATGTGGCATGTAGTACTTTTTTTTTTTGGTAATCAGTAATGGGATGTCTGATGGAACTACTACACTGGGCACTCCTTTAGGTATAGATACTACAAGATAAGGTACAATTAGGTTAGTGAGAACTTGGTAGGCAGAGTATTAATAAGACGTAAGCCCTAAGGGGAAGAATACAATAAATTGAATGATAACATTAAGAACTTCTGTTAATTACAAGTACGATTAAGAGAGTAGAAGACATGCCACAGAAGTGAATTACAATATGTAACATGTCAAAGAATTTACTTCTAGAGTGCAAGAGATCTGCAAGCCGAGGAGCAAAGGTTAAACAAAAGTGGACAAGCTCTTAAAGAGGACCTTCACAAAAGCTGGTGCCAGGAAGTTATGGAGCATGCGCTGGTATCTACCAGCAGTATTCTCAGGGGAGGTGGAGTCGACACCCCAAGGAGCCATTGCACACTCCAGATGGCTGAAGTTACATAGCATTGCTCCCTGAAGAGCTGGAGTAGACACCCTGAGAGACGGCTGCATACCCTGCAGATGACTGAAGTTAACACATGCTTATATGGAGCAGCTGAAACTCTGTATATTATCAGTTACTGGTTGAGTTATAAATGGGTAAATTTCCTAGAAAACATCATGGCTATTAAAATTATCAGTTATCTCTCGCTACATTAACAAGGCACTCTAAAACTTAGTGGTTGGATAGTTTTTGTTTTTTGATGGAAGACCTCTTATTGGGCCTTCATCCTAGGCTTTTTGATAGTGTGGTGGGCTCTGGGATGTAAAGGACAAGAACTGAAGCTTCAAGACCTCTTGAAAATCTGTGAGTTGTGCAACATCACTTCTATCACCTGCTCATTAAAACAAGTCACATAATTAAGTTCAGAGGCACAATGGAAAGGGATGTCCAAAGGTGAGGATGTAGGGGTTATGATTCATCAAAAGGCATTAGGATATCAAGTAACCATATATAATTGTACTGCTGGGTGAGCCCAACTGAAACAGTGCCAGAATTGATCGGAGATAATGTGCAAGATTGTTCATCCCATGCTCATGATTGTACCTAACTGTTCAGCCGTGGGAGAATGGAGAAACAAATTGTGGTGTGCTCAGACAGTAAAACACTGTACAGTTAAAAAGACAACTGAGTCTTGTAGCAACGTGAAGAATTTCACAGTCTGAAAAAGCATATGCACTGAATACTTGTAAGTAAGTCTAAGTGGTGGTGATGGAAAAATCAGCGTGGTGAACTGCAGTCTTGGGAAGCTGGGAGTGAAAGCACAGGTAGCTGAATGAGTAGGCAGTGTTCTGCACTTCTGCCTGGTGGTTATGTCAGATGCGTATGTAAGAATTCTTGCAGTTGTGCACCTGAGAGGAAGTACATGTCACTCTTCATCTTATAGCTCAGTTCTTCACAATGCTGGTCAGTTCTGCTGCTCAGCAGCCTCTGTGACTCTGTGAGCTAAGCAAGGACTGAAGGTGCCATGAGTGAGGGATGACTCCCTGCTCTCCAGGAAGTGGTCTCAGTGAGATTTCCAAGTTATCACTCACTACTAGTTTTATTTTTAGGTTTGCATGTAATTAACTGCCAAAATACTCAATCCTGAAAGCTATTAGTTTGAACTATTTAAAATTGTCAGCTATGTCAGAAGTTATTGAAACTCATGAATCTGCTCAGATCTGTCCAAACATGTATTATTTTTTTTTTTTTTAAGATTATTTATTTATTTTATGTGGTGCTAAGAATTGAACTCAGTGCCCCATGTGTGTTTGGCAAGCCCTATACCACTGAGCCACAACCTCAGCCCTGTTGTTGTGGTTTTGGTATGTGGAAATGCATTTCCCTTGAGGTTTCTGAGAGAGTGAGATTGATGACTACCCAAGAGGCACACAGCCAGTTTCTCTCTATAGCAGGGAAGCAGAGTGGTGCTTGTGGGCTTCTTTGGTATTTAAGGGGCTTTGTGAACGCTGACAGGGATCCATAATCACATGTGCTTTCAGAGATCCTCTCAGCGTTTCCCTTGAAAATGGTGGAAAATGAAAGAGAAGGAGAAGAGACTTTTTCCTTCTATTCTGATCTTGGAAGTCAGCTTGACTTATATGGTAGAGGCGGTGTGTATACTGATGGAAATGGCAAATCAGTGATGAAATTTCTTTATTCTAATTGTGGTGTTTCTTTTTAGGAGCAGACATTAAAGACAAATTAAAATGTTATGACTTTGATGTGCATACAATGAAGACACTAAAAAACATTATTTCACCTCCGTGGGATTTCAGGGAATTTGAAGTAGAAAAACAGACTGCAGAGGAATCGGGGCTTGCACCACTGGAAAACTCCAGGAAAACTCCAGATTCCAGACCCTCCTTGGAAGAAACCTTTGAAATTGAAATGAATGAGAGTGACATGATGTTAGAGACATCCATGTCAGACCACAGCACATGACTGCAAACAGTGGTCCCTGGTGTAGGTCAGTATTCCCTTGTGTCCTTGCCATGTCTTAAGAACTTTCCACTTGCTAACATGAACCCAAACTACATCTCTATATTTAGGATCAGAGGCCTGCCTTAAGAGACTGGATAGCACACCTTTGCAACAGATCTTTTTTGATTCTCTGAACCTATAAAATAGTTACATGTAGTGGAATAAAGAAGATAAACATCCATTATGTCTCTTATTGGATAAACTTCTGTTTTGGTCTAACTTTCTCTTTATGGAAAAGTTGGCATCATGGTAGAGAGCTTCTGTTGGTCCCTTCCCCTTGTCCCATGTCAACATCCTAATAACATTTGTTGTGGCTCAGATATCAGTGGTGTGGCCCTGTTAACAGCTCCCCAGATACATGCTGCTTTCACTTATTGTGTCCCCTTTGCACTCTGGTCTGGGGTTGACTCAGTTTGGAGGAGCGCTCCTCAGGTGGTTTTTGGGACCTCCCTTGATTTGAGATTGTTGGCTGTACTTCTTGTGATTGGATGAGGATTATGAATTGGGTAAAACTCAATACAGATGAAGTCTATTCCTCTTCACATTTGACACAAACCTTGGTCACAGTGGTGTCTGCCATGTTCTGACCTGTTAATTTCCTTTTTCCTTTATGTGCTTTGTGGGGCAGAAGGGCTGAGCTTCATTTCTTGTAGGGGCAATATCCATCCATACACATTTCTTCTTGAAGATCTGCCTCTTCTTTCCTATTTATTTACTAATTCAACCATTTATATTGACTCATGGGTACTTATTTCATATTTAGAATTATAAACCTACACAGTATCACTTATTTTGTGGCTTAAATTGTTTTAGCTTTAGCCATTGGGTGCTCTTTCAGCTTGATTTCTGTGACATGCTCCCATCCATTTGTTTTCTGGGTTTTTTTTTTTTTTCTAGTATTAGATATAACATAAACTATGTACTGTACTTAATAATAGTGTGTCAATATTGGTTTATAATTGTAACATTACACCAGTACAAGATGTTAACAATAGTGAACGCTGTATAGGCAGAGGGAGAGAGAAGCAGTATATGGTCAGTGCTTTTTGTTTAGTTTTTCTGTATACCTGAAACTGCTCTAATAAATAAAGTCTCTTATTGGAAACATACTGATCAATCTCTATATGTGTATTTTTTAAATTTCAAGTGTACAGCTTGGTGGCATTAATTAGTTTGCACTGTTATGCAGTCATCACCACTATTTCCAAAATGTTCTCATTATCCCAGGGAGAAACCCGACTCATTAGGCAATAACTCCCTACTCCTCCCTCAGCCCCTGGTAACATCTAATCTACTTGTCTCTATAAATTGGTCTATTCTAGATATTTAATGTAAGGGAAGTTACAATAACATTCTTAAGATTTATTAAACACAAAGGTGTTGCATCTTTAAATTTCATGACACCATGTGGTGCTAGGGAAACCACATTATCCTAAAGGTGTAGAAACAAAAGTATCTGTGCCCTCAGGGAGCCACCAGAGTGACCAGGGTTCTTGAGTTCTGCTTTGTAGTGTGTAGATGATAAAGAACGTGAGTTTCCCCATCTTTTTTCACACACTTGTTAGAATGACAGCTTTTTTTTTTTTAATAACTTTTTATTCTATTTATTTTTATGTGGTGCTGAGGATCGAATCCAGTGCCTCATGTGTGCTAGGCAAGTGCTCCACCACTGAACCACAAACTCAGCCCAGATGATATAGCTTTTTTTAACTTTAACACTTTAGTAAATGTTAAAGGCTGTTTTGGCCTGTTTTTATCTTTTAGAATGTTTTGCACTTTTCTCACATAATATTAAGACTGAAGATGGAATTCATGTGAAATAAGCAAGTGATAATTGGTCATAAGTCATTTTTAATACATCACAGCTAAATTACTATAGTATAGGTGCACCTGAAATCAGCCATAGCAGAATTGATTGAAATGCCCCATTAAATTAGGTGTTTTAGTCAGCTTTTTTTGCTCCTGTGACCAAAAGACCTGACAAACAATTTTAGAGGAAAAGTTTATTTGGGGCTCACAGTTTCAGAGGTCTCAGTCCATATACATGGCTGACCTCCATTCCTTGGGGCTGAAGGTGAGGCTGAATATCATGGTGGAAGAGTGTGATGGAGGGAGGTGGCTCAGGACATCACACCAGGAAACAGCACTCTTCCCAACATGGCAAAATATAAACCCCAAAGGCACACACCCAGTGACCCACCTCCTCCAGCCACACCCTACTTGCCTATAGTACAACCCAGCTAATTCCTGTAGGGGCTAATGCACTGATTAGGTCCCAGCTGTCATAACCCAACCATTTCACCTCTGCCTTCTTGCAGTGTCCCACACATGAGCTTTTGGGGGACACTGGGCATCTAAACCATGACACTGGGGTCAAGAGAAAAGTTTTTGTACAGTTTTATACATTTGGCTAGTGATTTGTTTTTTGGAAAGATGTTAGAATTTTTTAAATACATATTAAAAGTTATACAAGACAATTTTTAAATTTTTTTCATAACTGAAATTAGCCAAGGAGTCTTGCTGTGACTCCCAGGTGGGAGTTTCATTAACCACATAGTCTGCCCATTTACTCAGTCTCTTCTCTCAAACTCTTCCAGTCCTCTCTTCAGTGGACACATTGCCTACTTTTTCATAGAAAAACGCAATTATGACATTTATTCACAGTATCATTAATAAATAAGGTGTTATAAGAGATGAACTTTACTAGCAAGTGAAGTGCTCCCTTAAATACCCAACCTTTTTTCTTAAGCTATTTAAAATGTATATTTTTTCTACCTTCGTAAGCAGAACAATAGTATCTCCTTATCCAACACCCTTGAGTCTCGTAGCGTCTCAAAGCTCCGTTATTTCATTCTTCAGTTTCTTCTTTTATTTATGCTTGAAATACTTGGGAGAAAGATGTGATAGCCAAAGGGAAACGTGAACCCACAGGAAGGTGTGGCACGAGAACCGGTAATGAGCTGCAAACCGGGCTTTCAGGTGTCAGTAACCGCGGCTGCCAGGGAAGCCCGCCGCAGGGAAGCGGTACGAGGGGCGCAGTTCTGCAGCCGCTCATTTTCTTAGGATGAAATTCGGCCTCAGCGCCTGCCCGCAGGACCGGGGCACCAGGTAGCGCGCCCGGGAACCAGACCTCTGGAAGCGGAGGAGGACGCCGAGAGCCACAGGGGTCTGGCAGCATGCCCGGGGGCGGGGCAGTGGCGGCCGACGTCTCGCGAGGTTTCATCCTCGCGCAGGCGGCAGCGGCTGGCGGCGAGTACGGGATGCGCTCCGAGAAGGAGCGGGCCGGAGGCCCGGGCGCGACCGTTGGTACCCGGGGCCCTGGCGGGAGGGAGAAGCTGTCTGCCGCGGAAGTCCAGTTCCGCCGTGAGTCACCACGACGAGAACCCGAGACGCCAGCCTCCTCCTCTGGCTGCGGGGGCGGGGCCGGTAAGCCTCGCGAGGAGAAGAGGACGGCCCTGAGCAAGGTGAGCTGGGCCTGGGGCGGCGGGCCGCGAAGCCTCGCGAGAAGAGGGCGGCCCTGAGCAAGG